TTTATGTGCTTCGAGACAAGTTTACAATTTAGGCCAGTTCAAGGCTGTCCCAATTGTAAGCATTATATTAATTATAAAAACCTCACTTAGATTATGGTATCACAATAAGACATGATCCATTTGGAGGAGGAGAAAGAAGCATAGCTGGGTGTTCTCTTTTAAAGATGGAAGGCGGAAGACAGAAGGCAAGAAAAGGGCAAATACAGACTTGGTATACAGACTGACAAATCCGTAGCTATTTCTTTTATTTTAAAATCAGCACTGTAGTCACGAAAACATGCCACAAAAAGCATTTAGCATGCTAGGCCTTGAGGAACAGAGATTAAATGTACATCTGCACCTACTAAATGCTTTAAACTACCAGTTATATGAGTTGGAATTAACACTTAAGGAAAATGGAATCCACTTCGTATACATCCCAACCCTATCCCCATAAACTATGGCTAGTCTATTAAAGCTCTTCATTCCTCTCTATGCAGGGCCCGATGTGCAGTGAATTGTAAGCATTGCTGCAGATATGCTAACATCACTTTGATATTTCCAGGACCCATTTGTGTACCCCTTTCTTCCAAGGTTTGAAAACCAAAGTCTTCCTCAGATGGTCCCCATTACAGATCCACTTCGATAGGTTCATTTTATCCTAAATTTTACATCTATAGAAAAACAGCAATCTCTTCCTACTGAGAGGTCATGCCAGAAAAAAAGCACTAACAAATGTACTAAAAATACATTTAATACACATTTAATAAAGATAGCACTTGATGGAAAAAAAAGGCAGTGGGCTTTGGAAGTTTTAGATAAAATGGTAGATATGGAAAGATGCTTTTCTCTCATGCTACTTATTATGCAATAAAGGTTATGTCTGCTTGTGACAATGCAAGCACGTATCCCAGGTGCAAGAATTTTTTAATTACATGCTCATGCATTTTTTGGCTACAAAGTGTTAAGAAAAAAAAAAAGAATCCTACTCCAAGAGTAAATTAGAAACAATAAAAGAATACGACAATTATAACATTTTCATTAAAAATTTATAAACAGGTTTCCTGATTTACTTTCATAGAAAATACATGGCCTTTTTCCATGTCAGAACATTTGTCAGGATTTGGCGACTCCAGGCTAACCTGACATGCAAGATGATCAAAATGGATTATGTAATCTTTTCCATTTATTTCTATTGATTTTAATCATGATAAAATTCATCAGGGTGGGCTGGGAACAAGGCACCTGAGGAGAGGTGGTTAAATGAAAAAAATTAAAAAAAATTAAAAAGTCTAACCAGGAGACAATCCGTCATTTGCTTAGGAGGAGGAGGAGGAAGAGGATGATGATGATGAGGAGGAGGAGGAGGAATGTTGTAGCAGCAACAAAACATGACAGTGACAATATCCATTATTAATACTGCATGACAGGCTTCTCTTTAATTTGTCCTGGATATAAAGTTAAGGTCAAGAATTCATATCATTTCTTAAAATCAGAGGTTTAAGAAATTGTTTTAAACTTTTTGTAATCGCAAGGAAAGAAAAAAAATCAAGGAAAAAGGAAGGTAGCGGGGGGGCGGTTCCGAGCTAATCAACTTTATTTCCGTAACTGCCACTAACATCAAAATGCCAACGAGTGGACCATTTTAATCAGTTTTATTGATTCATGCTTTCAGATCTTATTCAGTTAAAAACAAGGCACATTAAATACATCCTCTTATTGCTCTATAAATGCATGCAGCTCATTCTGTATATCAAAAGTAATAAATAATGGCAATAAAACACCAAGACAGTTATAAAAATGACAACCCAGCCTCAAACACAGTATTTAACAGTCCAATCCTGAACAATAACCCAGCACAATACATAAAAGTGCCAGATGGAAAAACATGCGGTATATGTATATGTATACATATGCATATATGCATAGATATATGTGTGCTTACCTATTCATACACACACACAACCACTAGAGAACTGTCTGCTCCTATATTTCTTTGTTTTCGAAACAATTGTACAATAGTATCACACCAAATTACTGTTATACAAAAAGGACCTTTGTGCTTCCTATACATTCATATATATTCCCTTCCAAATATACAAAGAAATACTATCACAAAGAAACCAAGTAGAGAGTCTACTTTTAACTGAAGTGAGCCAATGTAAAATGATGTAGGGGAATAATACTTTCCCTGCCCATAGGAAGCAAAGGGATGTGTCGGCTAAAACATCTAGAGTTCAAATCAAAGCATAAACGAAATCATGGCTTCCTGATCAGGGTGTGATGGCGTCAACAGAAAAACATGGCAGACCTTTGAAGAGATGTTTGCTGGGCTAAGGACAAACATTAGACATTAGTCCAACCTCTGGTTATCCGAGAAGTCTATTTGTAAAAGTGCGCACTCAAAAGCTCATTAAAACTCTTCCCTAAGAACTGGGGTAGATCCTTAGTATATATCAGTCCCATGATCCTCAGCCTCACAACATTTTGGGTGCTTGCTTAACCCTCAGTGTTTCAAATGGATGAAGTGTTTCACATGGACAAGATGGACTTGGATCTCTTAGTACCTGCCCATTAATCTTTTGCCTCAAACTTCGAAAAATGTTGCATCGATTATTAATTAAATGTGTAACAACCGGCATCTCGACGTCTTTTCCGGACCTCTCCACACTTCTGCAGTCTTAGAAAAGCTATCTATAAGAGCTTTTTGTTAAGGTTTGGCGTTTTTTGTCCTAAGCAAAACGGAACACATTGAAAAGTGCTATGTAGAAAGCATCTAATAACATACGTTGGTGATGTGAGGTGAGGAAGGAAGAGAAAGATCCACCACAAAAATACCCCAACTCTGTGTTCAAAGAGAGATCTCCCAGTGCAGGCCCAGTTTAGACCTGTATTCCAAGTCATTCTGAAGTGCTCCAGGCCTAAAGAGGATGAGAATCTTGCTTTGGCTTCTACCTCTACTCTTAACCTATAAAACAAAGGGCTGACATTTCTTGATCATAGCGGTAACTTAAATGGGAAATGGTCTACAGAGAATTTTGCTAGAGGGCATTTTTTAGAATACTACCTTTTAATATCTTTTATGAAGACCTTGCTCCTTCCCCTCGATGCTGCCTACATTTCCAAATAGAAAATAGGGGTGCTTCATGCTAATGGCTGGACTATTTTTACACAGCAACATCTACTTCTAACAATAGATGCCCTTAATATATTCACTTTTTGAATATTGAATAAGTCTGAATTTTAACTTCATTTTGATATTGAGACCTTATAAAGGGCCAGTTTCTATAGATTGCTCTGAAGAGTGAAGAAATGCACAGCATGGAAATGCTAAAATAAGTAAATGATAGAATTCAGATCTGCAGGTTTAAGTATTACAACTCTTACTGATCTATAAATTGCATTAGAATATTAAGTGTTATTAAAACCTGTAACAAACAACAAATGAACAAGGCTACCAGAGGTACAAAAATTTCCACAGTCACATGACTTTGTTCCTTTAGGTTTGTTATTTTGCTACAATTTCATTTTCCAGATAGCAAAAAGCAAACCCACTGATTTCACTATTAATTTATCACTGTACTCTATAAGGATTTTTACCCTAAAAACTAGGGTTTTTACTTAAAATCATTTTAAATAGTAAGGTTAAAGTTTTTTTTTGAAAAAAGAAATTAGTGTAAAATTGAACCAGCAATCCTAGCAAGAAAGTAGTGTAGTTTTGCTTGGTATTTCCTTCACTATTTTTCTGAGGAGTTATGGGGCACCTATCACAAATTAAGTCAGATTTTTAGAAACCTTTTTCTTAAAATTCTTATGGAGACTTACAGAGCAAAGCCAAACCACTCACATGATACAGGATTTAGCTCTCTCTTTTTTTTATATATAAGATGTACCAGGGAAGGAATGGCAATTTCTTGCTGTGGTAAAGTAACAAGAACTATTTGATACGTTTATTTTCTATTTTATGCTGGCTTTTTGGGTTTAGGACATTTTAGAAGAATTAAGCCCTGCATTGCCACTTATTAAAATACAATTGTATCACTGCAATTCCTTGGTTGGACATTACACTTCTATTTTGGGATACAGTTTATGAAAATTCTAAATGCAAGCACTCTCCTCCATGATAAATCACTCATTTTTATGGCATGCACTTTTTAATAGACTGTGGCCATTATAAAAAATGTTTGTACCAAAGTTCTAGGCAAGCGATGAATATTTAGCACAATGTACTTCTCTGAAAGGGTGGGGAGGGAAAAAAAAGGAGGTTTAACAAACAAACAAAAAGTCCATTTTTAACATATGAAAGGCATGCTGGCACCGTCTACTTTTGCCCGGTTAACGCATCAAAAGGCAGAAAGAGAATGGAGAGAGGACTCTATTAATGTAGAAGAGGAATTATTCTTGCTTCTGTATAAATGCCAAAAGAAAAAGAAAAAGAAATCTACATTCATGTCTGGTTATCACCTGGGATCCCTTGCCCTGGTTTGAGCGTTCAACTCCCGGGATTAGCCCCGGGAAGGTGGGTGGGGGGGCAAAGGTGGACAATTCCTCCTTTTCATGGTCTTGTTGGCCATGGATTCTAGAGAAAGTCAGTTCAACAGGCCACCAGTCAAGTAGACTCTTTGCACAAATGTAAAAAGAAGAGCTGCACAATGTGACTTTCTGCACAGTTGCTCAGAGTGAGGAGAAGCAGAGACATCTGAAAGCAGTGGAATGTTTTTCAGCATTGAAAAGAGGCAACCGGGGGCACACCTTTTTGTGAGCTGTAAGCCCCCCCACACCTCACAGTCCACCACAACTCCGGTCCACTGAAATCACTTCCCGTTGATGAATGTTCTCTTCAGCTGCTTTCATAAGTACGGCCAGCCGGCTTCCAGATACGTATCCCTTCTGAATAGCAGTCATGAGCTAAAGAGACAAGATAGAGAAAGCTTTGAGGTCAATATACTCTGTGTCACTGCATTATTAGACGATACCTTTATCTCCACATCCCTCCTTAGAAGTCTTTCATTATAATTTGTCGTATCTCTACCAGCTTGATGTTGGGTGGTCCAGTTTTTTAAATTTTCAACATTATACATGCCCCAATGACTTGAAAACTCCTTCATTCCTTTAAATAAAAGATTGCAAAAGAACGTCCAAGATATAGCTGGTCCATCTACCTGTTTGCCCGAAATGGGAGCACAAAGAGACATGCTTTTTTGTACCCTCCCAAACCACCCTAAAATATAGAATCAGTCTCTGTGTTTATTTTTATTTCCCATTTTCCCCATCCAATCCGGTATTCCTTTTGGGTTGTTAAGTTCTGTTTTGTAAAAGCCAAAAGGTAGGGACTGATATGTAAACCATACCGATGTACATTTTTCCTCCCCTCTCCGGAACAACAGAATAAAAATGGTTTCAACTACAACAGCAGAAACAGCAACATAAATACATCTTTGGACATCTTTTTAAGGAAAGACAGTTCCACAGAAATAAGACAGCAGGATAAACAGTTTTTACTTCTAACACCAGCCTTCTCCTATCTGGGGCCCTTCCAGATGGATGGGCCAATTCCCAGAATTCCCAGCCAACATGGCCTCTGCCGAGAATCCTAGAAGTTAATGGCCACATATTTGGAGGGCTCCCTTACGTTCCAGCCAATTCAAATAAGCTCCGTCTTAAACAAATATGGCAATCTTTCCAGCATCCTACTCTCCCCCTAAGGAATTTGAGGAGAAGAAAGCTAACAGATTGGAGAGCAAGCCTGGAGAAGGTTGAAACGCGGCCATGAAATGAGACTACTGCTCTTAAAAATATTTAAAAGTAAATTCTATACCCTGGGAGCCTTGCAAATAAATAAGAGATGAGCGTACAATTAGGTGAGGTATTTTGTTTATAATTGGCATGATTTAAACCGTACAGCAGATTTTTCAACTGCTCTAAAAAAAATGTTCAGAGAACAGGCTGCTCTTTCTTTCTTTCTTTCTTTCTTTCTTTCTTTCTTTCTTTCTTTCT